CTCTATATTTCTGATGCGCTTTACACAGTTGCTCGAGCCATTGGCAATCCCATCTGTACGGATGCCCCTACGGCCCACAAGACGTCGAGTATTTCGTCCACACGCGTGTGCATTGAGATAGACCTCTCGAGCGAACTCGAACATGAGATAGAGCTCGATTTAGCTGGTACGGTCGTTTTTCAGCCGGTTATCTATGAGAACTTGCCTCAGTATTGCACTCTTTGTTACCAGGTGGGCCATATGTGGGCAGACTGCCATATCAATGAGAAGGCTACCGTTGAACCTATAGTTCAAGTTGGGAAGAAGGCTCGAAAGCGAAACCGACACAAGCGCCGAAACAAGCCCAATGGGCACTGACCCATGGTAGTTTAACCATGAATTTCACACACCCATGTGGATGTGTGTGTTTATGTGTACATCAACTATCGAACAAGATTACAGCTCATCATACACGTCATAATATTCCTCTACGGTCTTGCAATCCCCTTCTTGAATGAAACAAACTTCCCTTTATATTATACGCCTCGTAAAAGGTCTGCTGCATCAAATTCCCCATAATGCAGTTCGTAATCCCCATGGTAGGTTTGGAAGGTACAATGGCCAAACAAAATGTTTGATCGTGTGTCTGCTCAAATACGATTTCTACATCATCAATCCACAAACTCCCGAAGAGTCCAACTCGGAAAATGGCTGTGTTTGGATAACAACGTTTCCCACAAAAAATAGTTGTTTGCACATTTTGGCTTATTTGACTTTTAGGATCAACTAAAAATGTTGTTTGGTTAACAACTTTTTTTTGCAGTTTTTTTGCTCAAAAAGTTAAAATGCAAAACGCTACATATTGGAGCGTTTTTGCTTGGGTTTTCAATTTTTTGGCACAAATTAATACTTGTGAGCAAAATTGCCCTTAATTTAATGTCAAAATGATGTGCGTATTGTTGAAATGTTTATGGGCAACTTGATGACAAATTTTACATTTCAACAAAATTACACATAATTACTTGTGCCCGATGAAAAACAACTAGTTATCATTTTGTGCACATGCACAGATGTACATAAAAAATTAAATGTAATATGTGTGAATTTAATATTGAAATTATAGATGATAAACATATCACATTTTCAAGATATGTGAATTTAATATTAAAATTCCAGATAATGGACATACCACATTTTCAAAATTTAATCATTAGTAAAAATAAAATAATATTTATATAAATTATTTGAGTACATATGAATCAGTATATTGATTAAAAAAATTGTGGGTAATGTAATTTTTATAATTTGGAGGGATCATAATCAAATAATTTACTTGAAAACTTTATAATAATAATAATAAAAATAATAATAATAATAATAATAATTATATTATTATTATTATTATTTTTATTATTATTATTATTATTATTATTATTATTATTATTATTATTATTATTATTATTATTATTATTATTATTATTACTATTTTATAAGATTTTAAATTTTTTTCACTATACTATTAAAACTATTTACTAATTGTTTCTAAAGAAATTTGTTTCATGAAATACAAAATTAAAATAATAATAATAATAATAATAATAATAATAATAATAATAATAATAATAATAATAATATCATTCATAAAACCTAATTGAGCGTAGTCATGTATTTATAAAACCTAATTAATAAAATCTCATTTATTTTCCATTCAAAGAAGTTACAAAATTTGTCATTCATATTTTTCCTTTCACATTAATACACCATATTAAGTGTAATCATGCATTTTTTTTTGCTATTATATTATATAATAGTAATGCTATTACCAACTCATAATATTTCACACTTAATATAAATTTACATAAGTATAAACACTTTTATTGTTTCAAGATATTATTATTATTATTATTATTATTATTATTATTACTATTATTACTATTATTATTATTATTATTATTATTATACTTAATGCTATTTTTTTGCTATTATAGTAATAATAGTTAATGCTATTAATTTTTTTACATGATTACACTTAATAGGGTGTATTAATGTGAAAGGCAAAATATGAATGACAAATTTTGTAACTTCTTTTGGAGGGAAAATAAATGAAATTTTATTAATTAGGTTTTATTTATGAGGTTTTATTTAATGATTAGCTAGCAATTATATGTATATAGATTTGAGCAGTAAATGAGTAATTTAAATTGCTTGTGGCAAAATGAACCCTAATTTAAATTGCAAAATTGCAATTTAAAAACAATTTAGATTTGTATTCCAACATCAATTCCCAAATTTCGCTAAAATAAATTTGAAATTAATTTAGTACCCAAAAAAATAAAAAATCAATTGTATCATATAAGAACTAGTAAGATGTGTTGTCGAAAAAAACAAGTGAAACCCAACTATTTTTATAGTAGAACGGACGCCAACAAATTTTGCTCAAACAATATAGAAGTAAAAGTATGTGATTTTCATTAAAATAAATTTGAAATTAATTTAGTTAAGAAAAATGAATTCAATTGTATGGTAAAAGATTGAGCTAGATGTGTTTTCGAAAAAAAAAAAAAAGAACAAGTGAAACCGAGCTATTTTTAAAGTAGAACAAAAAAAAAGAAAAATTGCCAGAACAAGATATAAGTAAAAGTATATTGTTTCTGTTAAAACAAATTTCAAGTATATTGATGTCCTTATAAGTAATTTTACATGTTAACAGCTAAATAAAATATCTAATTTTACCAAACACGTTTTTACAAACAACTAACACAATCAGTTGGTCAAAACAGTTAATAATCTGCTAACAGCTAACCGCTGATTACCAAACAAGGCCAATATTAAATCAAGTCTTGACTTAATTGACGAACTTCGAACACGTGCTGAACTTAAGAACGTTGCCTACAAACAATGAAGCGAAAAATATATCAATTCAAAGTTCAAACCCCGCACGTTCCGAATTGAAGAGTTAATGCTCAAACGGATTACAGGACCTGACCTGGGGCCACTGAAGCTGACCGCGCGTCGCAACGCGACAAAATTAATATTTATAGTTTTCCTTAACTTACTTCTACCAACTAGTAGCAGTAGCGAACAAGGGTCGAACCCACAGGGAGTGTGAATTAAATTGTGAATTTCTCGCATTAATTGAAACTAAGAAACCAATAAATGGGGGGATTGATTAAAAAATTAAAATCCTAATGAAATAAATAAAATCTACACAATAAAAATAAAATAAAACAAATAAGAGAAATATCTAGTTCACGGTTCCGTCTACACCCTCGACTGACTCGCCTAATCAACTTTGGTATTAAAATCTCGCTATCTTATGAAATTACTAGCCCTAGGCAACGACACAGTCTGTTACCCGAATTTTTCTTTATTTTTAATTTAACCGCGAGACGCTTTACGATTAAACCTGACTTCTTGTACAGTCTAGCTAGAAAACACTTCTTAGATTTAATACAATCAGCCGCTTTACGAATTAGAAAAATAGGCTAAACTAAGTAGTGAACTCAACCGCGTTCGTTCACTTCAATAGGCCGTGTTATCTCCAGTAGTTACCATCTTCCGGATACCACTTACGAATAAACACATCAACAATTAGAGATTGAAGGTCTAATTCAGGTGTAGATATATAAAGCCTAATCTAGGTGATCAATCTAAATATGACTCAACACATCATGATTAATTATTCAAAATAAGACAAACAATTCTAAAAAGATATTGAAATAATCAACCAGGTAAATTAATCAAACATCGTCAATCGTAGAGTTCGACTTCTCCAGAACTAGAAATAAAAACTAGTCTAACATAATAAATAAAAAGCAAAAGAGAAGAATAAAGTTATCCTTCTCACAACGATTGTGGTCTTCCTCCGCGATTGCCGGATTCCCCGCGTCTGTCCGCTGTCTTTTTATTCTCTTCTCTGTTAGCGGCGTGTGTGGCGGCTGCTCTGTGAATGTGAATAAGTATGTGTATCTCCCAGGCTTGCGTGCGTCTTTTTTTATTGCTGCAACCCTCAATCTTTAATGCTCCATCTATTCCAAATCAATTATAATATTGGGCCTAACCCAACCACTAATACACCTCAATTCTCTTTTAATATTCCTCTCCAATTGTCCAAATTAGTGCCACAGGTTGCCTAACTAACGAAGTCTGGTTCTATTTGGGCCTTAATTCCGCTTCAATCTTCGTCCGAATTTACGGCGATAAAATATTTGTATAAATGCATATAAATAATGGGAGATGCTACGGTCCCGTTGCGGGACCATTCCGTCGGAATTTGTGACCTTTAGATCAACTATCTCCGACGGTTACTGAATGATCTAACGGTTACAAACTCGACGGAATGGTTCCGTAACGGGACCGTAGCATTTCCCATAAATAATATGTGATTGTATGGGATATAAATTCCTCAAAATTCGGTCAATGTGTTTGGTGGGTTAGCCCCTTGCCAAGTCTATCCCTAAAACCCATTAGCTCTAGTTTTGATGTCACCAGATAGGGAAAATGACCCCGTATTAGAATCTACAACCATAAAAAAATAGTAATAATATAATTAATTAAACGTCTTATCAAAGTTGGAATGAATAAATTCATTTAATTGCATCAATACATAACTATTAAAAATTTATTTAACCATTGGTTAATTAAAAAATTAATTAATTTATTATTCATGAAATATTCTGATGAATAAAAGTTCATTATATGCCAAATACCAAATACCAAAAACGATAAAATAAATTAAAATCGCACCCAAAAGACCATGTCAATTATGATATTAAAGATTGGTCCATCATGTAAAATATAAAATTCATATAAATATAAAACCATGAAACAGAACACATTAAAACCAGACATCGACAACAACAAAACAAAGACGAAACATAACACAATAAAACCTCACACCATAAAAGACAACAACAAAACAAAGGCAAAAAAAAAAGTCATGTGAAAATCTCAACCCCAAAAACGAATAACACCCTGCACAAAAACAGAGCACCTTAAACTCACTCCACAGCCCACCAAACTCAAACCGGAGCCAAACTCTCCACAAACTGAAACGTCTCGTGTCGAAAACACTGAAAATTCCACTCGCCGCATTCAAAGTAATCGTCCAAGTCGAGCACGACCTCAAACCTCCGTTTGCCCAACCCGAAACGAAGAATTTTCGTCGGCACATGAAAAAAAACCGATGACTCCTCAATCGTCTCCCCCCTAATGAAACCCAGCACGCTAAAATCGCAATCCTCGTCCGCCATGTAGCGTAAGATTCTGTCCACATCAGCACGGTACACCTCAACCCACCCCGAGTCATCCTCTGCCAGCTCAAACACCAAGAATGACCTGGACCAAGGCCTCGTGTAAGTCGAGACGCAATGCACGCGCCCACCCGACTCGATTATATAGTTTCTATTGAGCTCCTCTCGTTTTCTCTTGGGAATCTCGATCTCCGGCGCGACCCCGGCCGTCCTGGTTTCCAAATCGAAGTAGTAGGAAGTCGACGAGGGTCGGAACCAGTAAATCCGGTTGTTCCGGTAGATTCCGTGGTTGAAATGGGTGTTCGCGTAGCTAGGGAACGGGTTGTCGAGGCTCGTCCACGTGTCGCTCTCCGAGTCGTACACGTTGACCGAGTAATTCGAGCTGTAAACGAACACGAGCTTGTAGTGAAGCGATTTTGAAGGGTCGAACGCTAGGGAAACTCCTGGGACGGACGGGTGGCGCCCGCGCTCGTTTTCCAACGTTCGACGCCGGTTTGTGGTCGGGTTGTGGACGAGATAGGTTTTGCGCCCGTATTTCGAGTTTCGCGATTCGAGCAGCAGAAGACCGTTGCACGACTGCAGGATTTTCCCGTAGAGGGAGTCTAAGTCAAATGGGAATATAGTCCCGTCGGCCAGGGAGAAGTAGAAGTAGTCCCGAGAATTTGGGCGGATGATGAAGGATGTTTCTGGTTTGGGGTGACAGCGAGCATGGAGTTTAATGAACGTTCGGTCAAATATAATTGATTGCCAGTGTTTGTTGACTAGTTGGAGTTGAATGAGGGGTTTTGCGGGGATACGAAGGAGGATTGTATCCGCCAGTATATCGTAATTATCGGCGACTATTTCGGCCGATGATCGGGAGTCGAGTCGTTTGTGTTCCATTTTTGTGTTTAGAAGGATTTAAGGTTTCGAATTTAATTATGTGGTTTTATTTGTTCACGATGATTTATGACTATCGATACAGTCGGGTTTATATAGAGGTGGTTGGTAATTTCGTATGCTTTTTAAGTATGAAATTTTTCGAATTCACAATTTCATTCGAGCCCGGGCATGGTGAATATTTCTAAAATTTTCGAAGAAATTTTATTGTAAAAATTTCCTTTCGAGCGGGGTTTTTTCCTTTGGCATTGGCGCCGAGTTTGACTGCGTCGGTCTCACGCGCGACGACAATACTTAATATGCTCGGGATAAGTTTTGGAATTTGTTTCGAATCTAATTTGGATAGTGTATCAATCGTAACCGAGTTCGAATCGAATTCGAGCCATTATTGAAATGCAAATGTGATTGAATGTGGATTTTTTTCCTAAATGTTTTTTGATAATGTATCTGAAACATCAAATTTGAGTATTGATTGGCCTGATTTATTTCCTAAATTTTGGACCAGTGAAGAGAGGATGAGCAACTTAGGGACATTATTGGAGGAAAATGGAATTTCTTTAGGGTGCTATTGGATATAATTTCGTGCCTGAGATATTTTTTTCCTCAACCTTATGAACGAATTAAATATAAAAATAAATATCCAATTTGAGTGAATTATATTTTTATTGTATCAATCATAATGCCAACTTTTCATTGTATCAATTATAATTTCGTGCCTGATTTATTTACTAATAAAAGTACTATTCATTCACGTAACAAATAACAATCAATATCCAATATTTTTTATACCCCATCAATTTGAGTGAATTACATTTTTATTTTATATCTATTCATGATGCAAAATATACATTATTCTTATGATTTTCTTAAAAAAAATAAATCAACTCTTTACTACTTCACTCGGCAAGATAAAATTTTCCCAAAAATAGTGTAATCGTTTCAGATTTTGAGTGACATTTTGAGACATTTTAATATTTTAGACATTTTATGATTTTTAGATTTAGAAAAAATTCTATAAAACCATATGTATGAAGATGAAATTTGGAGTGAGATTTCGTATATGATTTATTCTCTTGAAATCGCAACAAACCTTACCAGGGGAAATTCTATTGTAGGGCTCGAATTTTGGTTATTGTGTCACAATCAGGCCTGATTTTTCAACTTTTTCATTTAAGGGTTTCAATTTTATTTTATTTTCAATATAATGCCAACATTTTCATTCTACTTTTCAATTTAAGACTCCAAAATCACTTTGTATTTTGATATAATTATGTAAACTACAATACTCTTTTTTTTTTTTTAAAAAAAATATTTTTTAAATAATTAGATATATTTTTAGTAACATTACTTTAATAAGAAAACTAGAATAAGTTTATTTTGCATAAATGTAACTAATTTCGATTAATTTTCTTACAAAAATAGCTTTACAAATATATATATATATATATATATATATATATATATATATATATATAGTACTTTTATTATAGGCATTAATTTATATATTCTTAACTTTTTTCAAAAATAAAATTTTATTCACAAATAATATTTTCTATATGTTTAATTAAAAAATAAAATTATTTTTTCATATAATTTATATTTTAATGTTATCACATATTTTGACTAAGTTTAAGTTAAAATTAATTTTTTAACTTTTAAAATAAATTTCATTAAACTTTTGCATAGAGGTAAATTATGAAATAAATTTTTTATTAGGTATCTTACTAAATATATGAAGAAAAAAATAAAAAAATTATTAAAGATATTTATTATTTTTTATTAGAAGTATTTAAATATTAAATTAAATAGAAAGAGTAATGTGGTTTACATAATTATATAAAAATACAAAGTGGTTAGGAGTGATAAATTGGAAAGTAAAATATAAAAGTAGACCTTATGTTAAGGATAGCTTAAAATTGAAACCCACAAATAAAAAAGTTGAAAATTCAGGCCTTATTTTGGCACAATAACAAAAAATCAAGCCTTATAATGGAATTTTCCCAACCTTAAAAAGCCCTAACAAATTTTATGGAGTGTATTCAATTTGGATTTTTAAAGATATTTTACAACTTTAGAAATCCTGGTATATTCAATTTGGTGCATTCATTATGGGATTTTAAGTGACATTTTAAAGAATTTTTAAGATTTGAGACTTTTCAACATTTTTAAATTCTGGAAGAATTCTATGAAATCTTAAGTTTGGAGGTAGGATTTGACGTGAGATTTCGCATAAGGCTATTCGTTTAGAAATTCCACCAAATCTTACAAAGTCTTAATAAATCATAGTGTCAAATAAATTAAGTAACTCAAAATTTTGTAAGACTTTTTAAAATTCCAATTACCCTAAAATTTTTAAAAGTTTTAACAAATCTAAATTGAATAACAGGATTTCTAAAGTCTTAAAAATCCTAAAAAATCCTACTTGAATACATCCCCTTTAGATTTGTTAGGAACTTTTAAGACTTTCAAAAGTTTTGGAGTATTCAATTGATATTAAAGTCTTGCAAAATCCTGAGATATTTAACTTATTTGATACTAGGATTTGTTAAAACTTTTTAAGATATGGTGGGATCTATAAAGAAAAACCTTATAGAAATCTCACTTCAAATCCACCTCCAAACTTAAGATTTCACATAATTCTACCAAAATCTAAAAATCTTAAAGAGCCTCACATCATAAAAAGTCTCAAAATGTCACTTGAAATTTCAATTGAATATTTGTCTCAAATAAGTTAAATACCTCAAGATTTTATAAGACATTTTAAATTCCCAAATGAATACCTTGATATTTTTAAAAATCTTAAAAAGTCTTAAAATGTCTAAGTTATTACACTAGGATTTCTAAAATCGATAATGCCTTTAGGGTTGCCTGGATATAAGTTTTTCCTTTTTTTATTGAATTTTTCGGTTAATCAGATTTATTTTTGAAACTGAAATAAATTCCAAGTCTGAAACATAAAAAAATCATCAATCATGAAATCTAACCAAAATATTTTTTAATATATTTTTATTAATTTGTTTATATGAATTGAAAGTTTTACACTTTATTTTAATATGTTTACATTGTTATTAAATGTTAATTGATTTTAGTATTAATTAATGTTCGTTTTGTACATTTTTTATATTATAATATTAAAACCAGTAAATAGACGTTAAAAATCGGTTGAACCGCGTACCGTTGGTTCATTCAGTATGATGACCGGTACAATATTTAAAACACGGGTTGATGGGTTGTTGGTTGAGTTAGTCGAACAAAATGAAACTAGTCGAACAATTACACACTGTTTATATAGGTTAATCAGTACTAATGCAGCACTATTTATTTAGATTAATTAGTGGTAACGCGCGGTATACATCAAACTATCGAACAAGATTACAGCTCATCATGCACATCATAATATTCTTCTACTGTTTTACAATCCCCCTTCTTGAACGATACGTTCTTCTCTTTAATATCGTATGCTATGTAGAAAGTTTGTTGCATCAAATTCCCCAGAATGCTTATGGTAATCCCCAGGGTAGGCTCAGAAGGCATGATGGCCAAACAAAATGTTTGACTATGCGTCTGCTCGAATACGCTATCCGGATCCAGCTCCATGAACGCCCCACCCTGGAACACTAGTTTCATGGTCGGGAACCTGTTTGTTAGATCTCTGGTGACCACCCCATTGTAGCAAAACCTCGCGAACTTATTTTGGTACGTGATGGAAGTATTCGGAGTTAGACCGAGGAGTAGCTCGTTTTCAATTATGCGGGTATATATGGTCTCGATGTCGATCACAACACCGGATGGCATAAAGCTGAGATTCGAACCGGTGTCCAAAACAACCCCACCAGTGTACTCGGAGCTGTTTCTTGTGAAAATCAGCGGGTCGAGCTCAAACGAGCTCTCGCCAACCATAATTGTTTCCATGTTTACGTAGTATTTGTCCTCGAGGACCAAAGGTGTCAAATTACCCCAAAGCTCAACTTTGCTCCCTACGACCAATGTGCTATGGGGATATGACCTGTCGCTTATCTTCCCAAAACAATAAGAGAACCTGCTGGCATTGTATTGTGAGATAAGAGAAAGACGAAGGTTACCTAGCCCGAGGACTCCGTTAGTAAAGAGATTGGTGTTTCTTGAGCAGCCAAAGACGAGGTTGCTGAGAGAATCGCTACTGGTCTTTCCAAATTCGAATGTTTCTCTACGGAGGAACCCCCTGGTGTAATGCATGCTGCCATACATTACGTAGTAACCGCAACCTTTTCTATTGCAATTTACAGAGGAAAAGTCTATTATAACTGGACCTGAAGCAGAACAGATATCAGTTGTTGTGCAGTTTTCCATCTGGTGTGTCGTGGAGGCCTTGGGATCAAATAAAAGCTCCGGCACATCGAGAAAACACGGCACACAATTGATCCAGATCAGACTGCTCCCTGTGTCCATGAACACAAATTGCTCAACCCCATTGGACCCAACTCGCATCCGGACAAGAAAGCCGGCCTTTACGGTGGCCGGAGTAAGATCGGCCTCAATGTCATCCAAGTGAAGCAAATTGGTAGTCAGATAGAGTCCGCGGGATATTGAGCTCCTCAAGGATATCTCCGCAAGTTGTTCCACACTTAGAGTGGGATCATAAAGTGGGGAGTATATGGATTGATGGTGTGTGATTCTGGCGAGTAAGATTTCAGGATTCGAAGCTTGGGAAAAGGTTATCAAGGTTGAGAAAATAAGAACAGAAGAGATTATTTTGCATACGGACATGAATAACATGTTGAGATTTTGTTGGTGATGCATGATTGATATTAAATTAAAAATTGTTGTAATTAAGCTAAGAAGATGTCTGAGGGGGCTCTAGGATAGTTTTTGGAGACAGATAGAGAGCTTAAATTATATAGACATGAGTGGATTCAACATGTTTAGTCAGTGTGAAACTGGAGACTTTTGGTATCTACAGTAGCAGTTCTGCTCACCTGCCCACGGTGGGCAGTGCCCACCACTTTATTTTACATGAAAAACGT